CTTATTCTCACTGCGCAAGATATTCAACTCGTCTCCTTACTCGCACCGTTTTACCGATTACCATGTACACGGCGTGAATTCCAACTAGAGCCTTTGAAGAAAGATCCCGAAGCCAGAGTGATATATTTTCGAGGAACCGTGATTACCGTCTGTGAATCGTTTAAAGACATTTCTTTTATATTTCGAAGTAATTTTTCAATGTCAGAGATGTAACTTCGGCTTGGACTACGATGGTATCCCCGGATAATGACACAATCTCTCATTTGAAACAACGTAGATACAAAGTTGTTAATAATCCTGAGACAATGTCTTCAAATCATACGACTGGGAGGGCCCGTTAAAATACGATATCGATGGCTAACGGTAACACACGCGTGTCCTCCAGTATCGATGTCAAACGTTGAACAACGCAAATGTGTACTTGTATACCACAGAATTCCTTCCAGCGTTTGTATTTACAGGCGGACTCCACGAAACCGTTGACCGTATCATCAATAAACATAAATTATCGTCAATAAACACTCCACTGGTTTATTTAGTTTCATTATTGTTTTTTGCTTCTCGTCTTCTTTTTTACGGAGATATTTTAATGCCTCCCATGACCTCGATGAGTGTCTGCATTTTTGTAGTTGTTTTAGATTATTTTAATCAACAGCAAAATTCTATTTTGTGAATTCAAACATGACACAAGTGGAATGAAATCTTCATGCTCACACACACGTTGAATAATCTGTGCCTAACGTGTGAAATTCACAGGGAAAGAGAGATTTTGCAGTTAAAGCCAGAAATTATTGATTGAAATCGGATGTCATTTTGTTGAACGGATGATTCAAAATTCTTGATTTATCAAGATCCATGAGGTTTGACGGGGGTTTTGACTTATGTTTTTAGGGCTCGGATTCTGATTGTACCTAACAATTTAGTGGTTTATATTGCCGTTGCACTCAACTACCAGAGGTATAGAGAAACATTTCCTCATCATATGCTGTAAAAAATTTTCGTCTGAATTTTCCCTGCCAAATTCCGGAAATTTTTATCGTGTTCAAGTTCCACTGAAATTTCGGGAAATCTTGTCATTGAAAAATCAAATATTCCATTGATTTTCTGTTCAAATGATCTGGAAATCCATAAAATACTTGATTTTTCAGTTCAATTATTCTTCGAAAACTGAAAAATTTGAAAAATTCAGGGAAAAAGGGAAAATTCATGTAATTTTGTGTCTGAACATTCATGTTCCACTGAAAATTCCATCAAGTTGTGAAACTCCCATCTCATTTCCACTGAAAACTCATGAATTTCCGTGAATTCTACTTAAAACTTGAAATTTCATAACCATTTTTCCCTAAATTTGATTCAATGTTACTCTCATGAGATTTACTCTAATATCTTCCACGAAATTTCAAAAAATTTCCAACAGTGTAGAATATCCAGTATCTCACGAAGAACCATTCGTATATGTTGTAAATTTTACACATCTCCGTTACATTGCGCGATGAGTGATATATAGCCGTTGCTTTCCATATTTAACGAATACATAAATTTAGATGTCGGGTGGAATCGCCAAATTTGTTATGGTAATTCTTCATAACATTTGATTGCATTTTGAATAAATTAAAAATTTCAGGCAATGGTCGGTTGAATTTTCATGATTCCCAAGAATCATTGTCATATCAAGTGCAAATTCAAATTTCCATTCAATTTCTGAAAACAATCGACTGCTTTTCAACTAAAAAATTCGCCTATCATTTTACGAATTGATTGTTGAAGATTTCAAGATTCGTCACGTCACTGAGAGAGAGAAAACCTAAAATATTGGGGCAAACTGAAAGATTTTCTTGATAAGAGTGGATAATTTACAGAACAATTTATTCGAGTTTGGTTTCATCGATAATCATGACAATAGTTAGATTCTTGATTGCAGAAAATTTTGCCCATTGCCGCGTCTTTGCTCCTTTAAACTCGAAGAAGCGTTTTCGGTAAGAATTTTTCGCCACTAGAAATCTTTTTCATTCAGTGATGGGATTTGAAATAAAATTGTCCATCAAAACATTATTGCTAAAAGTCCAGTATCGAGTGTTCGAACACGGTCATTTGATCGCACTTTACATCATTAATCAGAGAATGGAAAAAAATATTAATCATTTACTCTGCTGAGTTTCAACGATTCAGAACGGAAGAAAGAAAAAATTAACAACAGCAATGGGACTTGTAATTTTTCTAGGATAAGTTTCACGGGATATTAAATCGTCCGAGTGACCTACTCCTTCTACAACTAAGTATACTCACTGCCTTGACATAGAATTGATAGAAAATTCTGATAATTTAGAATTTGTCGGGAAACGCAAGTGGACGAGTGACTCAATCCCTCAGTAATATTTTTTACTTGAGAATCTAATCTCGTTACCTAGTATTTTACCTCGAGAAAATGGAAAACGGATTCTTCTAGGCTGCTTAAGTTTGCGGTAATCACTGTAATCTTGAGAAAAATTCAGTGAGGATTGAGTGGATCGCGTTACTGCAGATAAGTGTTGGACTGAGAGTTTCCAGAATTTTTCAACACGCAGAATGAAACGTTAATAACAAAGAATATGGAAGTTAATATGCATCATGTGGTTTTAAGTAAATGGCCCTTTTTGTCAATGTTACGAAAGACTTAAGTGATCGTAAAACTAAAATCGTGAGAAATGAGGGAATATGTGGTGAATATATGGAAATTGTGAGGGAAAATTCAATCATTAAATATTGTAATTGAAGTAATTCATCATTTTCATGACGTTCCCATTATTTTTATGCTTTAATGTAACTACTTGCATAACAATAGTAAAAGTGAAATTTAAGTTTTCAACTTTTATGGAGAGGAATCGAGCACAAGGGAAATGACCCTTTGGTTTCGTTTTTTGCTTACGAATGGAAGTTTTGTAATCGTTTAAATTTAAGTTTTCAATTTTTTGTATTGTCATTCGACCCATTATCATTCAAAAAGTCCGAAAACGCAATTTTTAGACCTTGTCTGTTCGTATGTGTGTATGTAACAAAATTTTTTTTCAAATGTTTGCTAATACATCGATAAATTGATTCATTTTTTGCTCAAATTTAGTTATTGTTGAGCCCTATCCATCAACATTAATTAAAATATAATTCGTCTATGAATTGTTTGAGCTTTCGATTTTTTCCAAAAATCGGTTGTCCCACCAATTTTCAATAACGATATTCATCCGAAATCACCGGATGAATATATTTATATCTGTTGGTTCGATTTATATAATGGGTTTTGCCATTTTCTTTCGTCTTTTGAAAATCTATTGTCCGATTGTTTGATCAAATATTGTATTCCAAATTGATTCAATCATGCATGAAAAAAGTTTTTTCAATCGTCAGTAGTAGCTGTAAAAATCTAACGACTTAAAAATCTAACACGATTGATTAAAGGCGGAATAGAATTCAATTGAATATTATGACACGATATACTATGCAAAAGTGATTTGCAAAGTGTCTATTCGGAAGCATATTGATGATTTATTAGCAAAAATAGCTATATTATGATAAAGGCAAAAACATTGCATTTACCCACTTGTTTTAAGTCATTTGTTTCAACAACAGACAAAAAATGTCGATTTTCGATGGAATTTTTTTTTTTCTGAATATTTAAGACGTTTTAAGAGAGGTTAGTCATTATGATTTTTTCCCTCAACTCGACTGTTTTCTAAAAAAAAGTGGTAAACAGTGACGAACGAATTTATTCATAATTTTTTTAGTGAACAAAAAGTCGATTTAAAAACAAAAATCATAAAGTTTTACCTTTTTTTAAACGTCTTGAATATTTAGAAAAAAAATTCTTCCCGTTTAAAAAATGATATTCGTGGCCTTTTATTGTAACAAATATTTACAAAATGATCAGTCTGGTGTCAATGCAGTAGATTTTTGCATGAATTACTCACGTGTAATATGAACAACCTATGCAACTACGTTAAATCTGAGAGAAATTTTCAGCGAACATTACTAGTAAACAATATCATAAATACCTTAAAAAATCATTTGTTTGTGAATTTTCATTGATGACATCGTTGAAAATACGGAACAATGCTTCATGACCTGCCCCTTTCCCCCCTAAAATCACACGCATTCTATAGAAAAAAAATTTCAGACCGGAAAAAGCTAATTTTCAATTGTTTATTAATGATTTGTTGATAACAAAAAAACACAGGAATCCGACTCGGGGACTTCGATATTCGGATTCAGCGGGTCAAAAAATATAGAACCCAGCGAAAAATTTTTCTTTACCTTTATGAACGACTAGTCTCGGATGCTAGCCCTATGACCACCAGGTGAAAACCCCATAATAGATAACCGTGATTTCTACTTTGTTTCGTGTTCAACTCTTCCGGCCGTTCTATTTTGCTCTGGCCTCCCCCAATTGGAGAAAAATGAAAACGAAAACTTGATGGTGGACCAGATCTTGCAGTTGACAGTTAATGATAAATGAAGTAATTTCGGACAAGAAGTGTCTTCCAATGTTTTCTTTTAGAATCGCACCTTTGAACAATTGTCCAACGCTATTTGAAAATATTAAAAAAAATGGAATAATTCATACATGTCTTGTAAACGCGTGATTATAGGAAAAAATGTCAGAAATCTGTTTGTGTAAACATTTACTAATTTTCTTCTTGGAATAATTCACTATTGAGACAATTTAACATTCAACAAAATGAAAGAAATTTAGAAAAAAATTGAAACTGAAGATCTTTAATGGAGTACTTTTTGTTGATTACCGATTCATTTCATGACCGAGTGATTTAGGAGAAAGATTGTAGATAGTTTTTTTGGGCGTAAAAAATTGTCGACAATAAAAATTTAATGCCATTTCCCCCTAAAATCATTAACTATTAAAATAATTCTCCATTTGTTGAGATCTGGGATCGAGGTAATTGATGACTTCTCATGTTTCATTATTTTACTGGTCCATAAATTTTCCTCCATTTGGGTCTTTCTTGAAATTGCAGCTCGGGTTCATCGAGTGCCTCGAGCACCGGTACAGGGTCGTCGTCCGGTGGTGGCCCAGGAACCGGAAACAATGGGGGCAGCAGAATGGCAGTCATTGGTGTTACAAGGAACGTTCGTTTGAGACGCCGTGGTGCTTCCGGTTTCGGTTTCTCACTGAGGGGCGGGCGAGAGTATGCCGCTGGTTTTTACGTCAGCGATGTCCAGCCAGGCGGTGAAGCGCACAGAGCTGGCCTGAGGGTAACTAACTTTTTGTGTTCATCGATTTCTAGGAGTATTCTGTGCTGCACTTGTCACTGGAATGTTTAAAAATCCGCCTTAGGTTGGTGATCAAATTATCAGAGTTAACGGATATCCTGTGGAGGATGCTGTGCACCAGGAGGTTGCATTACTTGCAAAGAATCAGCAGGTTCTTGTTCTCAAAATTCGAAGTAAGTATCCCTTCAGTGGTGTAAGAGGAATTTTTTCATATAAAATCTAAATTTATCAAATTATTCTAATTTTGTGAATATTTTTTAGGAGTAGAAGTTTATAGAAATTGATCATAAGTTCTTTTGAGACTATAGATCATTTAGATAAAAATTCAGAAAAAAAATTCAAAGAGAATTAGAATTTAGAGAGAAAAAATCCCGCACCGCCCAGCCGGTATTTGAACCCGGGTCTCCCAATTAAGCGCCGGGCGCTCTATCAACTTTTTCTTTTTTTTTTAATACGTTTATTTGACCAAAAAAATACACTATTGAATATACATGGATAGGTACTCTCCCAACTAAGCTACCGGGAACTACGGAAATCTTCTAAAATGAATTAATTTTTAGTTGCATATATGGCGGGCAAAAATCAATGAAAAATTGCAACAAAAATCTAGTGAAAATGACTGAGCTGTGTACCCTGAAAAATCGCTGAAAATGTGGCAAAATTATTCATTTTTATTGTATTTCCTTACCAACAACTCGCAAATTTTAATTCCTACTCATTTGCAAAAAATTACATTTCTAAGAGGGCAATTCATTTTCTACTTCCCAATTGTTTCTTGGCTCCAAGAAAAAATCCCTGAAATACCATTTCGCTCACCGATTAACTTGATTTTACAGTAATTTTTCGTGAAAAGAATGATAGAATAGTACATTAGAGTACAGGGGCACAAATTTCGTTTTCGACAAATGTGAAGTTTACAGGGCGAGCCGAAGGCGAGGTCTATATTCACATTCGTTGAAAACGAAGTTTATGCCCGAGTGGTCTATACCATTTCATCCCACATCGTGCATAAGTCGAGTTGGAAGCACGCTGCGCGAAGCGCAGCGCGCGATAAACTCGACTTATTGCACGGCGTGCCATAAATTGATAATACTGTTTTGTACAAAATTTTGTAAATTATTTACTAGTCAAACAATTCCCAAGACTATCGCCTTATTAATAGATGTTTGAAGTGTGGTAATGTCATTTAGTATTTTGCGAATACCTTCTGAATGAAGGGATGTGCAGACATTTATCAAGAGGCATTATTTATCAACAATTTGATGGATTATAACGAAAGTTTTGCGGTAAAACGTTCTGAACACTAAAAGTTTCAGATATATTTGCTGACGAGTTTAATGAGCTGTTCGCAGCTAATGTGCGTTTACCATTTTACTCTCGCAACAATGAAAGACCGTAAATTTATCGATGCGAGTAATTGAGTCATGTGACACCGTTAATTTTTCATTTATTTTTCAGGCGTTGGCATGATCCCAGTTAAAGAGTAAGTAGTCGGTCTCTACCGAACAAAGGGTTGGTGAAGCTTTTATACAATGATCATGATCAGCATTGTCTGATTTTCAGTAATCCAAATGATCCGGTAACATGGCACATGGTTCAGGGCCAGCAGCAGCAGCAAATTCAGTACAGTGAACCTGCAGCCCCAACAATTCCCTACAATGAAGTACGAATTCGTGTTATGGTTGGGGAAAAGGGACGTTTGGGTTGTGGTGTATGCAAAGGAATCGTGCCAGGACTCACAGTTCAGGTAAACAAAAAATTTCAAATACTTCCTCCGGATAGCCAGTCGGACAAATGTAGGGTTAATCTAGGGTTCATTGTCATTCCTACATGCATGCGACATTTATTCAATACAGTAACGCTCTTCAGAGGTTTCACATAGAAGATTACTCTGAGTTATAGTCTTTACAGAGGTTTCTTAAATGATTTTTAAATCAGTTGTTGGTGTTTTTGCAGTCACATCAATTCATTTCGTTGAAAAATCAATATCGTTAATTCTGAAATATGGAGTCCGTACGTGAAAACAGCACCTACAAAGTTTTTTAGAAGCTGGATATTTTCCGATGTTTTACATTTCTCTGAGTATTTAGTATATCTATAGAGGGTTAAACTCCTAGATTATTCATCATATTATTGACTATAACCGAAGACTATCTGTTTTGAAACGAAAAACAGTAGATACGAGAATAGATCTCAAAATACTCTATTACTATACAAATGAGAAGAAGAAGTTCTTAAAGAACGTAAGGGTGATCGGTCGAGCCGAAGATGAGGAATGTAATCGCACGAGTTAGAACAGTACACTAACATTACGAAATGCCACTTTTGACGAGGGTGCAGTTTGCAGGCCGAGCTAAAGGCAGGTTCTGTAATGACATTGCTTCAGAATCGCAGTTTTTTCATTCAGGTATACTTCAGTTATGCGCAATTTTCCGCACGGAGTACGTTGATATTATTTTTCGTCCGAGTAGCGACAATTATTTTATGACAAACAGTATGTTTCTCACGTATATCATACATTCATAAAATTGAGAAAGAACGCTCTATTTCACGCTCGCCCACCGATGGAAAGGATTAGTTATTGTTAACAAATGGATTTTGGTTGGAGGGTGCAGTCTATTCGGTTTCACCAAATGTTCATTCGTTAATTACATAACAATAATCCGATAAAAATTTTCATCACTGATTTGAATTCTTTGCTATTTTTCTCATGTATTCTATGGGAATGTGAGGATAGGCATTGAATTTATGGGTATTCGTTCATTATTCGAAAAAATATATCAATTTTTAAATTTTCCCTAGACATTGAAAAATTAAAAATTCTGTTTTCGTGTTAATCGCGTTTCTCTTCCTCTTTTCACTTTCTTCCATCAGAATTAGATAATAGAAAAAAAAATACATTGGTTTTTCTTCATTATTAAAAAAAAAACCTTTCCCTACATTTTCCGTATTTTCTATTTCTGTGAACGGAATGCGATCACGGGAATTAAAAATGTTATTTCCCTTCATTTTTTTAAGAAGAAAAAAACAATTTGAAAAATTTCGAAAAGACATAGAAAAATATATTTTTTCATTTCATTGATACTGATTGATGATGATCGATCTCTTTTTGCAAATTCCTTCTTCGGTTTCATTGAAATGAGATCAAATGAATGTAAAATGTTCATATTCGTTCACATTTTCAGATAATTACCAGTAATTAATTTAACGGAAAAAGAAAGAAATGAATAATTTTAATTATTAACGAATATGTATTTGGTCATATTCAACTCTACCATTCCTTAATAGTTGCTGAATCTCGTTTGGAATAAATGAATCATTCTATCAGTATGCAGTATTAAAGATTCTCCTCATTCTATTCTTCCTCAGGGGACAAGAGAGAGTGGTCCAGCTCGTGCAGCAGGTCTTAAAGCAGGTGACGTGATAGTCTGGTGCAATGGACAACGATTGACAGATTTGCCATTCGAGCGAGCCATCGAGGTGATGCGCGGTGCAGCGATCCTCGACCTCGTAGTCAACCGGCCAATCCCAGCCAGCAATGGTCTCTACGACTGTCCAGAGACCCTGTGGATGCGAGGTTCGAGTGGATATGACTCTGAATCCTCGAGTATTGGCCCAGTCAGCCCACCATCACACGGTAATCCCCCGTCACCGCAACACCAGCCTGGTGGTACTCAACGCTACACAGAGAACAGAAATGGCAGGTAATGTACAGCCATTGATCTCAACTCAACCGCTCGTTATGTTCATCTTCATTCAATATTGGGGAAATTTCGACGGTGAAAGTATCGATAATGACAGGGCGGTGAGGTCTTCATGTTTCCGGTGGCATTGATGGAAATTTTTAAGTCATGTTGTAATTTAATAATTAGAGGCTTTGGGAAGGCCAAAAAATAATGGTGGGAACGACAAAAGCAATTTATTTCGGACAAATAATTATTATTTACAACTTATTAGAAGTGAATATCCCTTCTCATTCGTTCATTTTAGTAACACCAAAATGAATCGAGGAAATTTAATGATAACATTTTCCAAATTGGAAAAAACTGTCGCCCAATTCACTGAGTAAATACTAATAGCGAAAGCATGAAGGTGTATAAACTCGAATTGTCTCAGAACCGTTTTTTGAATATCTTTGACAGGAAGAGATTCTATAAAAATAATCAGATTGATTTGTAGGAAATTGCATGGTCTGCAACGAAAGTTTCTTGAAATAATTTTCAAGACATTTGCAAAATGATTTTGTTTCGCTTCTGAGGCTCATTCCCCTCCACGATTTCCGTACAGAAATTTTCAAATCGTTGGGAATGAAAGTATTCAAATTCTGGTCAATGAAATTTCTCATAAAACTACTCATCCAATTGAAATCAGCGATTTCACTTAGTCAAAGGCATTGGATTACAAGTTCACGGATAAGGTTGCATATTAAATTATAAATTTTCTGGATTGAAGAATAAGGATGGTCTTTCAAGTTTATTGAATAATAATCGTGAAAGGAGAAGAGGCCATGTGTTATTGTTTTTTCCTTATTATTTTTCAAATATCTTCGACAGGAAAGGGTTTAGAGAGAATCATCAACAAATCTTGCATCGATAATTGGATTACCAAAGGGTCCTGATATTTCCTTCTTAATCTACTATGTCTAACGATATTTGGAAAATGCTGTTGATGAAATGCTGAGGATCAATGCTGAAGACCCTTTCCAATTTCCCTACAAAATGGTCAATTCCTTCGGAATAAATGCATTACATTAGCGTAGTATTCCTGGTATTCTCAAGCTTTAATTAACTGCATTTCTCATAAAACTATTCACCCAATTAAAATCCACAATTCCCTTGAATCAAAGAAATTAAACCCCAAGTTCCCGAACAGAGTTGTATATTCTCTGTATAGAAACTTGCACTGTATAACATTTCATCGTTATCTCTGCCATATATCCTCCATAATCAGTGATATTTCATGCCCACAAAAAAATATTCCAGAAACATTTTAATAAGTGGAATAATCTTGCCTAAAGGGTTATAAAGCCGTCGACTAAATTACAAGTTGCACGAGCTAATGAAAAAAAACCGAGAATTTATTAGATATGATAAACCGATGATAAACTAACAATATATTACATTTATGTAGAGCCTGTTGTCCACTGGCCTTGTCAACAAGCAGTTGCTCGTCCTCGGAGTGGAATCACCCGTGTGATCAGGTAAGATCACAGACCACTGAGGAGTTAATGCGCCTCATCCGGTGGTAACGTGTGGCCTCGAACGCCTTGCGTCTTGGCATAAAGAAATGGCAAAAGGCTACCCGATATTACGCCAGTTATCACGAGTATACGTTTCAGGGTCAAGACTGGACACGAAAGCCCAACAACACGACGGTCATACGAGTCAATCAAAATGTGAATCAGAATCCAAATCAAAATCAGTATCGCTCGAATATTGGTGTTAATTATTCGACACATCCGGCTTGTCATGGAAATGATGGAATGGGTGATGCCGGAAATGAACCACTTTATGATCCAGTGACGCCGAGAGAGTACGAGAGCCATGACTTTGATGCCAATCCACTTGATGAGAGGAATAGGAGGCTTATGTATGAGAAGGAGAATATTGTACTTTATGATCCACCTGGCGATGATAGAATCACGTACAGTGCGAAGGTAAACATTTAAAAAAGGCATTAATTTTTTACTCATGTTTTTCATTTTATTAATCTCCTACGGGTATACTGTGGTTACTCATTATCATCTCTTCCCATTTTTTGGGGCTTATCATCCTTGTTAAAACAAAAACCCACGGTAGTTATGCAACACAGTCATTTTGTTCAGAGGTTTCTGACAGTGAGTAGTATTTGTCAAGGGGAATACTCAATTCTGTGTTAGGTGTAGATTTTTTAAAACATTTTAATGGCCATTGTTGGTGTTTTTTCACGTTTTTTCATTCCATTGAGAAATCAACATTGTGTACATTTCAATTTCGAGTCTGTACGTGACATCACGGCTCAATTTTTTTGAATGGGTTCAGCAGAAAAAAAACTAGGAAGCTTTTAAGAAACATAATTTTTACAATTTAGAGATTTTTCAAGTTATCAAATCACAATCCTACAGGTATAAATAGGTTCAGGAGAGGATAGCACAAAGATCTAATTCATTGATGATGTCTTTCCAATAGGAGATGAATGCACGAATAGGACTAGTGGTGTATTTATGGAGGGTTAATGTACCCATAGATTAATAGTGATTGTCAAATAATTGGCCAACAACAATGATCGTTTTCTATTCTTAAATTCAATTTTCTAAACCAAGTTTGTATAGTTGGTAATCACTACTAGAGGCCGAAGAAATTATCGAACACTTTCTTGAAATATGTTTGGTGATTAATTTATTAGAAGTTCGTTTTATTCACGTGTGAAATCACATTTATAAAAATCTTCGCCTTATAAACAAGTTATTAATGAAACTACTGGCCAGGATTTTCAAACTAAATCTAAATATCCGTAACTGTTCAACAATATATTCACCTAAACCCTAAGCATACTCCCCTTCGTCCCGATCATGATGATGATATAATTGAATGGTTTCAGGATAATGGATTCTCCCCAAATTTGAATATACCCAGAGCTCCTGACTTTGAACGAAAGACTGTAACAACTGTAGAGGTTCATCAGTCATCAGGACCACCTGCACCACCATGTCCACCTCCGATGTCTTACAAATGGCAAACAGGTAGTTAAAAATTTTACAAAAGATCTCAAATTTTATAACACCAAATTGATATCTTCGTCTCTCCGGAAAATCATGCAGGATTTTAGAAAATTACAGAACAGTCTAGATTTTCATTTTCATAATAATTCTGAACAAAGAAAATTGTAAAAAGATACCGACTTGCATGGAATCCTCTGCAATCATCTACAAGGTTTTAAAATTTTCCAAGCTTCTTTTAGAATATCCCACACGATTCTGAAGCTCCCTCAAAATTTCTGAAAACTCTTCGATTTACTCCCAAGCTCCCGAGTCCCTTTCATAATTGAGGTACTCTCTAGGTGCATCGGCAATTATTACATAATAATAATCCGATAAAATTTTTCATCGCCGATTTAAATTCTTTGCTATTTTTTTATGTATTAATGAAAATATGAGGATAGGAATTGAATTTATGGGTATTGATTCATTATTCGCAAAAATATATCAATTTTAAAATTTTCCTATACATTGAAAAATAAAAAATTCTGTTTTCGTGTTGATCTCGTTTCTCTTCCTCTTTTCACTTTCGTCCATCAAAATTAGATAATAGGAAGAAAATACTTTTTTTTTTCATTATTAAAAAAAAAAACATTTTGAAATTTTCAAGATTGAATAATCGGTTTTTTAAATTTATTCATGATTTTGCTTCCTTTCATTTCCCGTATTTCCTATTTCTGTGAATAGAATACGATCACAGAAATTAAAAATGTTAATCTCCCTTCAATTTTTAAGAAAAAAAAACATTTTGAAACATTTCGAAAAGACAGAAAAATAGATTTTTTCATTTTATTGATACTGATTGATGATAATCGATCTCTCTTTGCAATTTCCTTCTTCTGTTCCATTGAAATGAGATCAAAGGGATGTAAAATGTTTATATTCGTTCACATTTTCAGATCATTGGTACTAATTAATTTAACGAAAAAGAAAGAAATGAAAAATTTTAGGTATGATTATCGAAAAGTGGTTGTCGATCTGTATTCTCACGTGATTTATGGGGAATTTCTCTTCATTCAATGCTGTAACTTGGGAATTAAGGAACAAAAATATATACAATAACAAAAAGAATGAATGAAATTAAATTCATCTAATTGTGAAGGCGGAAATGGAAAGAAAATAAAATAAAATCACAGAGTATAAATTAATCTAGCGAGGGGCGCGAAGCGCCTGTTCGCTAGTTTTGTAGAATATTCTTCAATTTTCTAACACTTATCATCTAAAGGTCTATTACAACATGGACAAAATTGGAACGTATTCGTTTTCTAGCGATTCAGGGTCCAATTAAATTACCAAAAATATTCTTCCTTATAGTGGACACAAAACCAATGATGGGAATGAACAAACAAATGGGCAGTACGATGTCAATGGGCTCAACAGGTTCAACCGAGACGGAATCGAGTCTAGAATCATGTGGAAAGGATTCAGCATCGACGTCGTCCTCCCTCTCAACCTCGTCGTGTGAGCCTGCCTCATCAACAGTCTCTTTTGCCTCAACGATGACCACCTCTAACGTGCCACCCCCCATTAAATCCCCCGAACCCACTCCCACCCCCATTCGTCCACCACCCCCACCTGGACGTACCTGTCCACCGTTATCCACCACTGACCTTGGAACTGCCATAGCCCAAGAACTGCAGCGACGAGCTCAACAGGTTTGTATTTCAATCCACAATTTTTTCTTTATTAATTTCTCTGAGGTGCTATTGAGTCGATTGTGACCTGAGTACCTCTCATAGTAATGATAGAGTGCATGGAAAACGCCCAAGAGCCATTTCTCACGTACATACTTAACACAGTTAAACCTCAGCAACCTTCAAGAGGTGTCGCTCCAGAGTCAAAAGCCATTTCGAGTACCTCTGTACGTGTTTAACTCACTCGAGTATCCATCTGCCACGAGATATTATCATCTGAGCTCTAAATTATCAGGAATATTTGAATTTGAGTGTCTTTGGGGAGATCATTGCAGAAATGTAAAGTAGTGGAATGTGATTGTTTAATTAATTATGCAGATATTTCGGAAATTTACTTTGGATGAAATATCGAGAAATCTTCCTTGTAAAAAAAACCTGTGAAAAAAAAATAATAGAATATTCTATCGGAACTCTCTTTGAAATTGTCTTTTTTTTGCCAATTTGTATTCAAAAAGTTCGTCGCTTTTCTGCGTTTTTTTCAATCCATATGTTCAATAAAAAATATTTTATCGAAAAAAAACGATAGATTTTGATCTCTCAATACAATTGTTTCTGTTGAGATTCTGTGCAATTTATTCTATTGCAATTTTCCAAGTTTTTTTGCTTGATTTCTTTTGACTAAGTAAAAAAATGTAAAAAACTTATGTCGAAAAAATTGGAAAGAGAGTGGTTTCATTGAATAAATTGCAGAGAAAATGAACAGTTGTTACATGCTTTTCTGTTAAATATTTTTCATCCGATATATCTTTAAAAATTTCTCTCGTATACCGTTTCGGGTTTTTACGATTTGTTCCCTTTCCATCCCCCAAACCCCTATGCCGCATTCGCCGAAAGAAGGAAAACCTCACGCCAATCCCGCACTCTAACCACACAGCCACCGCCATCGGTACATCCAATATATCTTTTTTTGAACAAAAATTGTGAGGAATAACTGCATAGTTTTTCATTAGAATCAGCGAAAAACTAACAGGATTACAACAGAAATTTAAGCGAATTATCTAACGCCTGCATTAGGTTGTCTTTAATTTTTTCGTACTTGAAAATTGGTAACGTATAATGTTTTGTGATTTTACCCATCAAGTTGTTTCTTTTCGAGACATCTGCCGAATTAATAAAGCTATCATATTTTGCTATCTTATTTTTTCTGTTGCTTATAACATTTTTATACGACATCTCCAAAACAGAAGACTTTGGGAAAAAATGGCAAGGGACCTTTGTTGAGGAGAAGATTTGTATCCCATAAGGTCTCCTGATGTGTTCTCTTAAACTTTTGAATTATTGCGATCATTTCAATAACGTAGCGAGGAACGGGACGGGTAGTCAGTCAATTTATAAATTTCTGGCGATTGACCGTTGATCTCTGGAAGAACTGATTCTACGAAAAAGCGGGGTTTATGGGGGCTAATGATGTAAATGTAAAGGTTCCTTGAAATTTCGCAGCAAAACTAGCTGTTGCATCTGGCGTTGCCCTTCTTCTACATTTAATTTTCATATTTAAAAATGATGATTTGTTAAGAATTTCCCTAAAATTTTCTGGTCCCCTCCCGAATTCTCTAGAATTTTTTAGAAAATCTCCGAATTTTTAAAATATTTTTAACGTAGAATTTTCTAGAAATCTAGCAGAAAAGCCGCGGATTTTCATAAATTTTTGAGAAAATTTGAGACATCTCTTGAATTCCTCTCTAAACTCCAGAAGCTTCTAGAATTTTCCAGAAAACTGATGAATATGCTCAGATTTTTTTTGTAAAGAAAAGGTTTCAAAATATGTTAAGTTCTAAAAAAGTTCGGTCATTTGATACACATATACGAATTTTCATGCCTCTAACTTCAGCTGTTTCCGAATTCGTATATAATATATATGCACCCTTTTTACCCCCCGAAAATCCGCCGTTAGCAGGTTCTTACGTCACCAAAGGAATCCACATGCAAAGTTCCATGTTTGTAGCTTCAGTACTTTGGGCTGTACGTTAAAATGCGTTCCGAAAATGCCTTCTCCTTTATATTATTAAAATGCATCCAAGGTATTACGAATATTGATCCTTTGAATGCATTCTGACAATATAGATAACTTTATCAGACGTAGAAGAAAAAATTTTTTTTTCTCACTGCTGCATGGAAAATTCATACTTTTCTCCCGCTGATCAAACAGCAAAATATGAACTTTCCTCTGCAGGTGTGTTAAAAAATTGCATGTGCACCTCGGGCGGAGTCTTGACTTTGCGCCCTTGATGCACAATATACTATGGTTTGCAGAACCAAGTTATTGATGTTAGGAAAATCATTGTTTTAGAAGGCATTTTACTGAGAATACGAAACTGATTACTTGGTTTCAGAAATAAAATCCCTAAAATTCAGCACCAGAAACCTGCTAATATCAAGTGAGAAAAGGGCTATTCTGAAATAAATGAACACTAGCGCCGCCGCGGCCGCAAGCGGCCGCGACGTTGATGCCCATTTATTATGCCTTTGCTTTTTTTGTTTCTTTCGAAAATTAATGATTTATCGTCGTTTTAGTCTATTGAGTGTTAAAGTTAATGAAAACAATGCGTCTCGGTTCATTGCTTGTTCAATTTAAATATTATAATAAGTGATCCACTAATTCTGAGTTTCCGTCCTCATTGAATGAAATTTTAATTACTATTGTAATCAAAATTATATTCAGAGTGCAAAACAACAATTATCAAATTTCTCACAGGCCATAATTTTTTTGTCTTCGCCTCCCTCTTCATTTCCGTTTGCAACTTGACAAAAGTATTCAATTATTTTTCTAGAAAAATTATGGGGTCAATTCTGATCTTCTTTCGCTAATTCGAAGTGTTTTCGCTTCATTCATGATTTTTTCACAATTTTATTCGACGATGTCATAAACTTCAAACTTTCATCATCTAATCATCTAAAATTTTTTCAAATTTTCTATAATCTTTCGAAATTTATATTAATTTTTTTCAAGAAACTTGAAAATTTTTGTGGAATTGTGGAGAAAATCTGAAGAATTACCAAATTATTTCCTCCTTTCGCATTTCAATGAATCAGAGTGCAGTATTCGGGCTTTCATGACTGCTTCAAATCAGTTTTATTTGCAAAATGCCGCCCTTTCCTATCAATTGTTTTCCCATTATTTATTCAACAATCCTCGAATATTTGAGAGATATTGTAAATGTTTTGTAATTTTCAAAAACTCCATAGATTGTCTCTAAGTTCTTCAGAAAACCTCATAATTGTCTTGAATTTTTGGAAAACTCCCGAATTATCTTACATTTGGGAAAAAAATTGACAGTTCTGATTTTTTTGGAAACCTGCAACCTTCCTCGAAGTTTCTATAATTCATTCCCTATTCACCCCCTTAGAGATGGATTTTGTAACGAAGCTGAAACACGTATTTATCAATTTCTAACAATCTCTTGATGAGTGCTCACATAAAAGATAAAACCGACTCTGAAATTTTCATATTATCAGTTTCAATAGTTTCGACTTTTGATTACTATCTTAGTCAAGCTGAAGGGCTCTCTTACCATATTTATAACACAATTCCCGTCGGACTCAGAATTCCTTTCTTCCATTCATTGTTCATAATCATTGTCATTGCAAAAAGCAGTGCGACTGATGAAAATGATGTGCCTCAATTTATTAACTATGAAATATTTATATTGCAATGAATAATCTGCGCATATGCTAATTCCTCTGCTCACTGAATAAGATTTCCATCATAATTACAATCCAATTTCTACTCGAACATAATTCGAAGAGTAAATTGCCGAAATTCAATGTTTGGTGATACTCTGGTAAAAGTGCTTGCCAACACCGTGATACAATTTTTCAATCAGTTCACTTGGTAATTCAATTAATCTATTGTTCATATCATCAACATAATTCCCCATTTAGAATATTGTCACCTCATGTTTTCAGCACCAAATTTTGGAAATTAAAACGTAAAATGACAATTTGACTTCTGCTCGATTCTTTTTTGTGAATCTGAAATTCATGTTAATGTGTCAGATATTATGAAAATATCATCATTCCTGTTCTCTACTGTTATGGAATATTGAGCCACAGCTGTTCATTCATAACTGAATTTCTTTTATTCCTATATTATTATTATTCTTTGTTCAACGTGAAAAAATCTATCATCATTTGCACTGTAGTGCATTCAGATTCTTCTGCACTTCATGTAAAAAATATCATAATAAACTCATAATTCTAGTTATTGATTCTAATCAACTTTGGAGAAAACCTTAGTAAGCGCAACATTAAGAAAGTTGAATCATTCTATTGCCCCCGACCTAAATGATTAGAACAATTATAGTTGGTTTATCAATCGAAAATACAGAGTAAGAAATTGGGTGCAGAATATTCACGTTTTCAATGAAAATTCAAGCAACTTTTTATTTTCATACTGTTAAGAAATGTTGAATTCCATTAAATTTTCAGTCAATTTTTAAATTTCATGACTTTCCTCTCTCAATTTAACTTAAATGTCTTGCTCCTAAAAATTACCACTGAACTATCCATGAATTTCAATTTTTTTCAACAGTATAATTGCTAGGAAAAAATGAAGTCGACTTTCTGAAATACACTAATGAAATGATTGGAAAATCACAATTTTCGAAGACCACAATCATTTTTTATATAAATAATCCAATAGCAATCAATGTTTCACTCAAAGAATAATTTTTTTCGTGTAACGGGACCTGAAAAACCCCATCCTCGCCTTCGACTCGGAAGGCAATCGTGCACGTGGAGGACGGTGATCTGTTTTCCAAGGCTCGGGCATGTAATGTACTATTCCTGAATTATAACGAATTCTTCCGTTTTCAGAATTTCACCAAAAATTAGGTCCATGGCAAAAAAATCAATATTATTTTATTTTGTCATATAAGTATTGATTTCATTAAACAAACCATCGAATAACCAAAATCGAATGAAAAATTTAAAATTGAATATTTTTAGATTTTCTATTTTTTTTTTCAATTCATTCTCGACATTCAAGTTCATTAATCATCTATAATTTAATCTTGTCAGCTCGTAACTTTTATCACCAAAAAATCATTTCCCATTCCACTAATTATAAACAAATGCGTGTATTATAGAAAATATGCACTGATGTATTTAATGTATACACGGTGTTCGTTTCTTATTCGAGGTTAGAAATCCGATTTGTAATTCTAGCGTACTTTCGTAAATAGCACTGTCGCGGCCGAATTGCTCATTCTCATGAAAGTTCTCATGAGAATGCGTCTTTCACCCGCCGCAATGACTCTGAAGATAACAACATGTGGCAATTTATTCGATACGACACTCTATTTCTGTTTCATAAGTTCATGATCGAACACGTCCGTTCGACTTCGACTTTCGGTGAATCGATTCGACATTCTTCAATTCGAGTTTTCATTCGGCAGCCATTATGCTTTCCTTTATATATAAGGATTAATTCAACATTAGTTGAGTCAAGTTGTCAGGTTCTATTCTTTCAATAAACAAGGATTTACAAACATCAATAAATTAATTTTAGAAGAGGAAAAGTCAACTTTTGCAAGACCGAGAATTTTATTAATTTAAAAATCTAGATGTTTTTCATCCAAGAATCCCAATGCTCTTATTTTCTGAACCCAAAAGTTTTGAATTGCAGAGCCAAGATTTTTTCCGGAATAGGAAAAAAATGTGCCTCAATTTATGTACAATCATATAAAGTGTGAGGGACATTCCACGCTATTTCGATCAAGAAAAAATGCATGTTTTTTTTTCCTGTGATAATTTGACATATTGCGAGGGGCCGGTAGAGATATCATTTTCTGGAAAAAAATGAAAAAAAAAATGTTTTGAAATTTTGATGGCTAGTCAAAATTTTGGCATACTGAAAAACACTTTTTTTTTGAGACCTCGTAACTCAGCAAATATGCATTTTATGGAAAAAATGTAAGAGGTCTTTTTTGTTGGGAAAGGATGAATTTCTATCTAGAAAAAAAAACGGTAGGAAAAAGTCAATGTTTATGAATTTTTTTAACAACAAATTTATTTGTTTATAAAAAAAATATGCTGACATGGAGCTAAAAATCTGAAAAAAAAATATGATGTAGCACATGTCTTCCTGAGTTTTATGCAATTTTTTTGGCGAGGTACCACTCAATAGTTCATGAGCTATGATTTTTTTGATAAACAAAGTCCCATTTTTCTTGAATACCATTGACGTGGTAAATTTGGAAATTCATCGAATACACTGTTTATGGGAAGAGTAGAAGAATAGTTGTCTGTTGGGAAGAGGTGAATTATTATACACAATCAATTTGAGTGAGAAAATAACAATTATTATTTAATTTTTATTATAAACTAATTATTTTTGGAAAAAAAATTATGATGTCTTAATGCAAAAATTTGAGAAAAAATCAGGTTACCGAGAATAATCAGTCACACAAGCATGGGATATTTCATTCAATTTCTATTGTACATTTCTAAATAATTATTAAATTGTTCATTGACTGACTGAGGTGCACTCGCCACCGGGTGTTTCTCCCTTCTAGGAAAGTCACTCTCCCAGTGCAGTCAATGATATAAACACAATTTACTGCACCAATGAAGAGCACATGGCAGAGGAAACTGCCTTGGAATCACGCTTCAAAAATGGAATCACTATCTCTGGAACACGGAAGTTCCATTCTTTTGTTCCAATTCCCAATTCCCACAAAATTAGATGTAGACTTTATTCATTAGATCAGGACTATGAAGATCATTGTGTAGAGAAGTAAGTGTCATACAGGAGTCAATTATATTTTGAAATCAAATTTCAGAATCCCGGCAGAAGGAACAACAAGAGAGCACGACGATGAACAGCACCCTTAGCTATTTAATGAACTATTTAATTATTTAGAAATGTTCAATAGAAATTGAATGAAATATTCCATCCTTGTGTGACTGATTATTCTCTGTAACCTGATTTTTTCTCAAATTTTTGCATTAAGACATCATAATTTTTTTTCCAAAAATAATTAGTTTATAATAAAAATTAAATAATAATTGTTATTTTCTCACTCAAATTGATTGTGTATAATAATTCACCTCTTCCCAACAGACAACTATTCTTCTACTCTTCCCATAAACAGTGTATTCGATGAATTTCCAAATTTACCACGTCAATGGTATTCAAGAAAAATGGGACTTTGTTCATAAAAAAAATCATAGCTCATGAACTATTGAGTGGTACCTCGCCAAAAAAATTGCATAAAACTCAGGAATACATGTGCGACATCATATATTTTTTTCAGATTTTTAGCTCCATGTCAGTTTTTTTTTATAAACAAATAAATTTGTTGTTAAAAAAATTCATAAACATTGACTTTTTCCTACCGTTTTTTTCTAGATAGAAATTCATCCTTTCCCAACGAAAAAGACCTCTTACATTTTTTCCACAAAATGCATATTTGCTGTGTTACGAGGTCTAAAAAAAAAGTGTTTTTCAGTATGCCAAAAATTTGACTAGCCATAAAAATTTCAAAAAAAAATTTTTTTCATTTTTTTTTCCAGAAAACGATATCTCTACCGGCCCCTCGCAATATGTCAAATTATCACAGGAAAAAAAAAACATGCATTTTTTTTTCATCGAAATAGCGTGGAATGTCCCTTGAGTAACATTATTGAGAATTAAAACTTTTTTCTGTTATATTCTGGGAATTTTTTTTTTAATGAGTAAAAATTTAATTTGGAACAGAGTTTTGAAATCGATGTGAAATCAATGTAATCCGGGGTAATCTAGCGACTTGTGAAAAAAATTTATTCGCGAATGTAATAATATGTGGACTTGAGATACTTTATCACTTTACGACTGAACCCCTCTCTTCCGTTTCTACTAATTCCCAAGAAGTATATCGCGAATGATAGATTACATGGTGCGTGACTAATTTGTTGTTGATGTGCCAAAATTCATAAGTAATCTTCATTGTTGTGGAGGCCGGATCGTTTTATCAAACTTTTTGCTTGTTCAGAGAGCTGCTAAAGCTGAAGCGAATGGAGATAGGCCCGTGTTTGAACCGAAAAAACAACCACAGAATCCAGAGGCTTTAAAGGCGCAGGAGAACAAAGTAACGCATGATAAGGTAAATGCACCAGAAGAATTATTCCCTGTTCAGTTCTGGGAATCTATGCCATGACTCTTATAGTATATTTTGCAAATATTTTTGGTGAGAAGTTTAGCGGAATAATATATTATTAGATATGATCAGATATAATGAAAAGGCCTCTTATAGAAAATTTCATGAACCATAAAAAACATCTCCCGATATTTTTTCCTCAACTTTCCGGATTTATTTATTTTCAAATTTCTACAAAACTGAAATCTGGGAAGAATTATCAAAGTACATTTTTGTACATAATTCGATGGCCTTTCTTACAGGCCGGGATGGCCATCAATTTTCCGATTCTTCAGTATTAAAAGAATTTCCGACTTACATTGATCAAGGTCGAAATATACTGATCGAAATTAAAAAATAGCAAAATAATTGATAATCTAAATTTCCAATTGATGCTGAATTAAATATTTAAAATTATGGAACTATAAATTTTCTATTAACTAGATAATACTAAATTTCTTATAAGGGATTTTCGATTATCCAAATAATCGTCAATCTTCCTAACTCAATTACTGATTAATGAATAATTCAAAATTTGACTATTTAAATTAATGATTACTGCAATAATTAAAATTTAAAAGTGATATTAACTAATTTGACTATTTAATAAACCAACAGTCATTATATTTTATGGATTTGGCTATCCCTATTTATAGGAAGAAGAACAGACATTTACCAATAGTCTATGTAGCACCCTTGAAGTAATTTTCACTTATTATTCTTCTACAAAATTGATAATTGTCGACTAGTCAAAAATCGTTGAAAATTTTCCTCCATACCTAATGGGCTGAGAGATATTTATAAAATTCAGTTTACAAAATTCATGGATCTCTTGATATCCACTAATTTCCTTCAAAACTGATAATTCTCCCGACAATGAAATACCATAAAACCCACCCATTATTTCTCATCTTGTCTTCATTTCTTTATCATTCCACTGTTGATTAAAATAGTGAAATAAATTCCAACTAATTCCGTTAATTTATTATCTTTCAGCTAATGGAAGAATTCAAACGTGCCCATCAGAAAATGTTCAACCAAAATCAGCAAAAGATTCAATCACCAGAACAAGACCAAAAAAAGGTAAACTGCCACTATTGAGTTGAAACCGATAACACAAATTCTTTCTTCAATTTGTTCAACATCCCCTTTGATTAGATCAATTAGGTCAAGGGAAATCAAGCAACTCAACTAGCTACCGTTAACATCGCCAATCGAAGGAAATATGAAAAAAATGCAAGAAAAAAAAACAAAATCGTAAATTTCTGTACCTGATAAGTTCGACCGTCATTACCATTACCAATAGTTCAAGAAAATTCAGTCCAAGGTCGGGAGAACACTTATGCAATGAGGAAATCCCTCTGAAGAGTCAGTAAAAGAAACAAAAATAGAAAAGTTTGCAAAACAGACAATTTAATTCCTAGTGACAGCGGTTAAATGTGTCTACGTGACTCCAGGTGCATTGACCTTACTCTAAATTGTATAATTGGAGACAACCGACCGTTGAATTGAAAAAAACTTTCACTAGTTTTTCTTTTCTTTCATTTAAAGAGTGCCGATGAGTTTGCGGTATCGCGTGAAATTTTTCAGCAAAAGCGAAAGGTTTATTCATTATTATTTTCTCTCATGATATTGAACTGCACGAGTGTCTCTCCCACTTCACAGAGTCATCACAGTGGATAATACAACCATTTCCTTGAAGGAAATTGCATGAAAAATAAGAGAAGTTCCTCTCCTTCACAGAGCAATCAATGCAAAAATAAAGCAATAAAAAATCCAAATGACAGACCATAAATTTAATTACACATGAAATTCAAAAGACCATCGCGTCATCAGGTGATAACGCGAGGCATTACTCCTTATCACCAGCGCAGGTGATGAGGGAAATGGTGAAGTATGTGTGCCTCAGGTGTGTACATTACCACATGAATTCTGGGGACTACACCTACGGATTAAATTCCCACCGACACAACGATACCATTGTTATGTATCCAATGTACAAAAGAATCAAACGAGATAGCGAAATTAACACCTTAGAGGTACATTCACGACATTCGTGCGGCCAGTATATGTCTCGTGTCAGATCAATTCACCTCGGAATTTTAATTGAAAATAAGTTTGTGGAATTAGGAATTAAGACCGAGTTACTCATATTCTCTTAATCATCTTAATTTTAGTAAATCGTTTTTGGAAATAGTGGAATTAAAAAGATGTGAAGAGTGACACTTTTGAAGTAAATTAGGTTTATAGGTCTTAGTTTTATAGTTTTGGATTGATTATAATTCATTAGGAAAGTGGTGAAAACTGATAACACGGTACAACAAAATAAGGTCAAGTTTTTTACCAAAGATGAAATTTACACCACCTATAGATTTTTGCACGCTGAATCCAATGGTTTTTGCAAAATTCCTCTAGCACGTCAGGTTTTAGAGAAAAAAAATGTTAAATTTGTGAAATTTGTCAAAACTGAACTTTTTCAAAAAATTTTAATTCAATGAATTTTCGACAGAATTGAATGGAAAAAAATGGCAGAGTATAGTTGAAAAATTATTTCATCCGTTAGAATAAACCTCTTCCAATTCCGCGGCATGATTTCGCTGCAAAAAAATCCTGAAATTCATAAATTTGGTTGAATTAACTGTTGATTACGTGAACTCTCGTAAGTTGGCTTCGTATATATTTCTAACCCCCTGGAATTTATTCAAGAAGCACGTAGTTATTTTTTAAAGGCTCAAGGTTATAAAAATGAACTGTGAGAAGGTTTTTGAGTGGACTTCTCAGTTTGAAGTGATATAGGCCGCCTTTTAAGAGGAAAATTGTGAATCCGGGAACTACCGTTGGGAGGCTGAAACGTGAAATGCGAGGTATTTTCTTTCTATCACCTATTGGAGGATGGAGACACCCACATTTGCATCCATTTACTATTTTATTCATCATAAGGTTTTACTGCATAAACACGATGAGGGCCCACGAAGCCTCCAGGATGACAGTTCCATGTCCCTCATAGTTTATATCCCCTGGATTGGTTCAGCAGACATGCCGACTTACTTCCCACATTTTCCCTTTTTCTGAACCTAATTTCTATCAACAATATCTATTTTGGGATTTCTATTCATAGTTTGTATGTCTCTAACTACATTTTTTGTATGTAATTCAATTTATTACTCGAGAAATTACCGTTATATTTTGAAAATAAATTCTCTCATAAAGAAATGAATACTTTTGTATGTATTTCATCAAAACGAAGCCTCAGGTATTCACGGTGACCCATCAAAATTCATCAAAATCGCATCAGAGTGATGAATGCTAGTGTACCATCAGGAGAGAATTTGAGAGTACATCAGGGTGAAGTTTCAAAACTAGCTATAAAGCATAAGTAAAAGTAAAAGTAAGCATCAAAGTAAAGAATAAGAGTAAAGTCAAGGATAAGAGTTGAGTAAAGGGGTTTTGCATTTAATCACAGAAGAAGAAAAAACGAGTTTTGAACATTGAATATGAAAAATTGGCATCAACAAGTTTTTCGTTGTTTTACAGTTTCAGCGTTCTGAAAAGAGATCCTGTAGAATTTGCGTTTGTGCTCCGTATCATCATCGCTCATTAAACTCCAGTAATAATCTCCCAACATGGAGTATGGACTTTCCTTGATATCGCTTTTCTATTGTCGCGATGTCCTGGTGGAATCGTTCTCCGTGCTCATCGCTGACGTCGACTAGCTTCTGCGGAAAAAAATCTAGATGGGAATGTAAGAAGTGAATTTTCAGAGACATGTTAATCCCCATTTTCTGAAAATTCACAAGCATCTGTTGCACAATTCGTCGGTAGTGTGGTGAACGACGGCTTCCAAGGAACTCAGGCAAGACCATCAGTGAGCGCCATATTTTCAGCTCAATCTGATTCAGGGTTTTCTCGAAATCTTTATCATTTTCAATTAACTTGCGGATTTGTGGGCCAACAAAAACTCCTGCTTTAATTTTGGCGTCACTCAATTTTGGAAAGAGAGTTTTTAAGTAGGCAAATGCTGGTCCGTCCTTCTGGAGTCTTTTCACGAAGCTCGATATGAGTCCAAGTTTTATGTGCAAAGGAGGTAAACAGATTTTCTCTAATTCAGTGAGTCGCTCCCCAACAATATTCCGATTACCAGGGATGAATTCATCGCGTCGCGACCATTCTTTAGTTTTATAATGGTTCTCTCTGTCCCGACTGTCCCAATGGCATAGAAAGCAGCTGTATTTTGTGAATCCCAGTTGCATCCCCATGACGAGTGCGACCATCTTCAGATCAGCACAGATGAGCCACTTGTATTCTCTGTACTGAATCTTATCAAGGAGGAGGAGTTGCACATCTGCATGGTTTTCTCCCAATGACGTAGAGTACGCAACAGGCACAGAAGGGTAAATATTGCCAATGTGAAGGAGTATAGCCTTTAAACTGATGCGAGAGGAATCGATGAAGAAGCGCCAAGCCTCTGGATGATGATCATGCCCCAGACTTTTCATAAGGCCATCCACATTGGAGCAATAGAAAAGCTTTTCCTCTTCCACGGAATACTCACGAAAGGTCTGATCTCGATGACGGAAATGGCTGGTAGTAACCCTAGGTTCTAAGACGTTGAATTCTTTGAGAACCGAACCCATGTACTCCGATCTTCCCTTCGTGAGGTTCAAGTCCCTAGCAAGATCATTCAGCTGCCCTTGGGTCATGAGACCTGGTTTCACTAACACCGGTGGTACTTCTTCTATGTAATTTTCGTCTTTGGAAATGTCTTCTGTGTCGTCTGTGTCGGTGCACACAGGTGCTTCTGCAGCAACAGGCGTGTCCACCGATGTTGTATCCTTCTTCCCTTGAAATACAGGTACCATCGCCGAGAATGATGGTGGATCCAATGATTTTACGGTTGGATATTGGAGAGTCTTCTTATTTTTACGAGAATATCCGTATGTGTTTGTCAACCAAAAATAACAGTCTGTGATGTGATCATACTGTTCTCTCCATATCGCTGGGACGTTGAACGCAAGTTTCATCTCCCTGGTTTTCACTGATACCTGTAGCAGGACGCGACAAGAGCAGCAGCACATTGATGGAGTCCAGGGTTTGTCCTGGTTACAAATGGATCGCCTGAACACGATCTCATAGGCTTCCTTCACAGCAGGGGTGATATTTCTCCTCTGTGATGTAGGGATGAATTGTGCACAAACGTAACAGAATGAATCGGGTGAGTTGTTACATTTTCGCGACATTTCTAATTGCGAACTGTTAGAGAAGACAGTTCAATCCTGAAGTTGCTCATGGGTTTCTCCCCGAAATTCTTCTGTTAAATTGGATGGAACGAATGTGGAGTAACGACAAGGGTCAAGCGGAAGGGTTGAGATTACAAAGGTCAAACGGGTGAGAAAAGTGAATTCCCAGAAGGGTCAAATGGGGAGACATGCAGGGAGATTCAAACTCAAAAGACAAGTCAGTCGATGGCTAGGGTCTTGAAATCTTGTAATCAAGGTTTGTAATCTCTCCATTTGCCCCTCTCGTTTACCTCCTACCATCACTCTAGTCGTCTCTCCACTCGCTCCACTCATCTCTCCCGCTTGACTTTTATGAATTTTTTTGTTCCTTCCCTATCTGGCATCAATTCCCTGGGATGAAGTTATTAAAATACACAACTTGTCAACTAAGGAATTTTTCTAGCCCTCTTTCTATTGTAGTACTGCCGCGAGACGCGAGAGAAACGAGACGAGACGAGAGATATAACGAGACGAGAAAATTTATTTCAGAAACTTGATTTACTGTAATTTTTTGCGCAGAAAATTAATTTGACAATAGGAAATAAAGCTAGTGACACACACACGATAAAAAAAATTCAAGGATGATTCCAGCCGATGAAAATTCTGTCAGGAGGGGAGTCAAGTTGGCAAGTAAATTTGCATGACCAATGAAACAGTCCAGAAGCCGCATAAACGATGAGGGACACGGAACTGTCATCCTGGGGTCTTTGGGGATCCTCCGAATAAAAAATAAAATAAAATAGTGAATGTAAGCCAATTTTACGCTGGATAATAGAGAGAAAATACCTCATATTCAACGTTTCAACCTCCCAATGGTAATTCCAGAATGACGATTTTCCTTTCAACCGGCGACCAATATCAATCCCAACTGAGAAATTCATTAAAAACTTTCTCACCGTTTATTTCCATAACCGTGAGTCTTTGCAAAAATAACCACGTGTTTATTGAATAAATTCCAGGGGGTTAGAAATATATACGAAGCCAACTTCCGAGAGTTCACGTAATTAACAGTTAATTCAACCAAATTTATGAATTTTAGGATTTTTTGCAACGAAATCACGCCGCGGAATTGGAAGAGGTTCATTCTAACGGATGAAATAATTTTTCAACTATACTCTGCTATTTTTTTCCATTCAATTCTGTCGAAAATTCATTGAATTAGAATTTTTTGAAAAAGTTCATTTTTGACAAATTTCACAACTTTAACATTTTTTTTCTCTAAAACCTGACGTGGTAGAGGAATTTTGCAAAAACCGTTGGATTCAGCATGCAAAAATCTATAAGTGGTGTAAATTTCATCTTTGGTAAAAAACTTGACATTATTTTGTTGTACCGTGTAAGTTGATTGAACTTTTCGAAGAGATATTTTTTTTATTCTAGTAATCGTGTAGTGTACTGGACTTCCATGAATTCTTAGCAGTACCCTAGCAGAACTGTCAATAACTCTAGTAAAAATTACATTTTTTAATAACGTTGGTACTTGCAGTATTGGAATTTTTACTAGATTTATCGTGTTTTCTACTTGAATTTCCTTAAAAATTCGAAGCACGTCTAATAAATTTCGAGAAAAAAAAATTTGTTGAAAAAACCTGGTTAAATTCGACTTGGAAAAGTGAACTTTTGCTTAATTGAACTTTTGTCAAATTCAACCTCTATCAATAAAACCGTTCGGTTATCTGGTCTTTTGTATGAATATCGGTAAAACCTGTGTTTGTGTCCGGAATTTCAGAGTGTAGTTGTGTTATTTATTTTCTCATGCATATGAATTTGTGTGAAATCATTTGTAATCAAGACTTAATGCTGTTGATTCTGGATACGATGTTGTGCATTGTGGTTCGTTCAGTTTTTTCCTGTTTTTTCCTTCCGAATGGAAGCTTTATAATCGTTCAAATTTAAGTTTCCAAATTTTTGTATCAGGGCACCTGAATATGGTCCACAAAGTCCGAATATGCGATTTTCAGAAGGTGTCTGTATGTATATGTATGGACTTTTGTTCCAATTTTCTTTATACGTTAAAAGTTGAAAAGTTGTTTTCAAGTTTTCTGAAGTTCAGGTTCGAATTTTTTTTTCTCCAATTTTTTTTGTTACCAAGTTGTTTTGACCAAGTTTTTTTTGACGCAATTTTTTTAATGGAAGTTTTTTCGAGATGGACCCTAAAAATTACTAAAAGACCAATTGATACGTTACACGATGACTAAAATTCAGGAAAATTTTTTAACACAATTCCCTCTCCGTGTTTAGCTGTGCTTTTTTGATAAATATTCCTGAATTTGAGGTAGATAGGGAAATATTCACAGTGGTCATTTAGTAGGATAAAGGAAAAGCCAGCAAAGTGGTCCTAGTAGGAATTTAGTTATTCTATTTGATTTCATAGATATTTTGCCAAAACTTAAACTTGAAAATCGGCTGATCTTTCTTCCTAAATATACTAATGAACTTATTTGAAGAGTTTATCACAATGAGAATCTGAAATTATAATAATGGGAATTACAGAATTTTCATCACTCCATTTGATTTCTGTTTGAAGAAATGTTTCCTATCAGAAGATGAAAAGTTTCAAAATCAATTCTGGAGTCGTAGAGTTTTAAATTCTTCGAGTGAAAATCTAGTGGAGTCTGAAAAATTTTCGTGTTAAAATTTCTTCGTCGCTCTTCAATTCTAAGATATTCAGTAGAATTTTAAATTCAATTCGAAAAAAATCAACGTTCATATCCCGTTTTACCACTTCCCCACTGAATTAATTCAAACAATTTTATTATAATTGAAAGTCAGCCGTGAAATTGGAAAGTGCAAATCTAGTTCGTGTGCTACAATTAATTAACAAATTGAGACACTTACCGTATGATTAGGTGAGGGTGGGAGAGACAAGTGATCGATACTCTTGAACGACGTCATGTTGAGTTATGTGCGATAACCGGGTCTCGTGTAATGTATGTACTATTTGTATTTTTTGTTTCACCGCTTCGTTGAGTTTCTCGGGGCTCTCGTTGACAGACGTGGAAAAATAATAGGCAGATTACGTAAGCTGCGAGCGTCTCGTGAAAGATCGCCGGTGACTTTCCTTGAGTTTGCACGACAGTTTGCAATTGGTGTTTGTTCTGGCCAAGTTTGTCATGCGGAAAATTGTACATGTTAATTTCAAATATATTCCATAGTTTTAATAACTACAGAGCTGGAGAAAGAGGAAACAAAGGATTTGACTTTTCATGTGTATCGGAACCACTGCGATTATCACGTGGGAGATTATCCGGCAACAATTGATTATCTCTTTTGCAACATGACGTGCGTGTATTGAGGAAGAAAAATGTAAAAATATACATTTCGTGAAATGATAAGTCGGGAGTGAAATCGTCACGCTCGACTTGGACGATGCATCTTTAGAGTGCAGTGAGAGTGAACTTTCCGTTGTTGTTTATGGACATAAGTCAATGGATAAAGCGATATTGTACGGTAGAAATAAAAGTAAGTTATCGAGCGTGACGAAATTTACCGGGAGATGACAATGTAAATCGTTCACGTGAAATTAAATTTAACTAGTGAAGTTTCATGATGAATGGGAAACAAGGGAAACCGGGGAAACCAGTGCTGGTGACCATCACTCCTTATACTGTTAGTTGACGACAAAGAAATTTATCTTTCATTTTCTTATCCACCATACGTTAGATCTTTTTCTTTCCATTCTTAAAATTATTTATGAAAAAATAATGTTTATAAACAGTTTGTTTGCAAAATTTGATTTGAATCTCGCTGAGTAACCATAATTTTTATTTAATTTTCTCATGAAATTTAATTGATAAATTGGATTGTTGAGACTATTCAAATCCAGGGATAGTTGAATGCATAAAATTTAATTACCGTTAAATATTGTAGCCGTCAATCAGTTAACATCACGCTTAAATTTTTTGATTATTCAAGTATCATCAATTCAAATATTCAAATCTTCAACTATTTTATTAATCAATAATTGAGGTAGGAAGATTGACGACTATTTGTGTAATCGAAAACCCCCTTTTTGAGAAATTTGAATTATTCACTTAGTGGTAAAAATTGACAGTTCCATATTCTCAAATTTGTAATTCACCATTAATCGAAAAAATCAAATTATTAATATTATACTATTTATAAAATTAGATCAGCATATTTTAAACCTTCATTAATGTAAGGGGCAAATTCTTATAATATTACAGAAATTTATTAGTGGTGATCCCTGTTCAAATCTATAGTATAAACGTAGTAGAGTGTGAGAGGGGTATTTGTTGATCCTCAACACATCCTCATTGAGTTATATCCGTTGTGTAAATAATTTTCATGTTGAATTTTTTTCAGGAGCAGGAAAAGCGAGTGAATGGATCAAGTGGTGGCTGTCCACCCCCACCACCACTCCCCCTTCCCGGATCACCAACAAAGTCGCGTGAAGACGCAGTGGAGATGCAGAGTATCGAGTCCTTCAAGCTGAAAGAAACTCCGAGTCCAGTCATCCCCAAACCACCGCCCACATACTTCTCAGCCTCCAACAACAACTCGCCAACCTCAACCCCGCCGAACGGCTCCCCGCGACACGCAGCAGTAGCCAAACCGCCGCAGCTCAACGGTAATAAGGATTCTGTAAATAATAAGTGTCAAGTGCCAATGGAGAAAAAGAGCTTTGTGAAAATTCAAAATTCCAATGGGCCAATCGCAGCTAATACTGGGGGGAAAGTTGCGGTGAGAATTGGAACATACGAGGGAGAGACAAAGCAGCCGTCCAGACTTGAGTTTTTGCCACAGGGGAGAAGTACTACGGATGCAGGGAAGACTGTTGAGGAAGTCACTAATGGGCCGGTGGTTTCGAGGCTTCAGAATGAACTCGCTGCCACACTGCAAAGATCCAATCTTAGAAAGAAAACTGAAGAGGTGAGCGAAAAAATATAATTCAGAGGTTTTTTAATGTTCAATAGATTTTATTCATAGTCATTCACATGCATTTCATCAATTTGTCATCTTAAAACTAATACATGAAATTGATTAATCACTTAATTATTGCTGGCCAGCAATCGCCACTTAACCCTGCTAACATCTACATAATCTACAACTAATTCACCTAAACCTAGTAGTCATCCTTCTCGCATCGATCTTTGATCGAGGCCCAGAGATTCGTCCAGTACTTTTGGTCCTCGGCCTTCCCGAGGAAACGCCAGAAGGTCCGAAGGTGAAGACAGCTGGGGCAGGGGCACGGCATTTCTCAATCCTCCTGACATTCGCCTTGACAACCTCGGGTTTATCCACAAGGTCGTACGCAGGTCTCTTCTCCCTCCTGAGGTGGCGTCTGGCGGTGGCTCTCAAGCGAGAGTCACCTCGGCAGACGTGAAGCCATCCCCGGGATACTCGAGCGCCGTTTAGAAGTGAATGAGGATCCAGCATCCTGAAAATAGAATGAGTCACTTCTACTGGTAGATTTGCAATTGGATCCAAATCGGATTTGCCAACACCGAACAGGCGCATAAGCTTGTCACAGAATTCCATGTTGCTACTACTCGAAGACGCTGCAGAATGACCTCTACTGCCTGGGTCACGCCCTTTATACCTGTACCACCACTCAGTCACCCCCACCCCTCCTCGATCCCCTGCCCCGCCCCCACCCCCACCGCTAATTGTGTCGACCAATCCGAGCCCTTCATGAATCATCAACTTTCATATTATCAATCATCATCAGTAAGATTGAAAATAACTGTCTGTTCATTTAGCAATTAACATTTTCAGGAAAATGGAGTAATCTCGCAGCCATCAGCCAAAACATCATCGAGTCCCGACGCTGAGCGTCCAGTGACCCTCCTCCAGAGCAACGTAGAGAAGCTAGCAGCAGCATTAGCCAACAGAGTAACAATCAAAGTCAGCCCTGAGAATGGCTCACGATAAGGTGGTTATCACCATTGCTCAAACAATCAGCGAGACAGTCAACATTGATAACACTATGTAATTTAAGAGTTTTATACTCAAATTTTTAATATATCTCCACGATTAGCTAGAGAAAAAATAATTATCGTGGTAAACTGGCCACTCGGACAGTTTTCGAAAAAAATCTACAATGTTTAGAGATGAAAAATCTTTTAAAAGATGAAAGTATAGTCATAGAGATTCAGAAGATGGCTGAATTTTTCGAGGATACATATACACTAGTATCTAGATGTACTATAGACATTATACTATATGAGATAGATTAATCTCGTTACCCAAGATATATAATATTGAATGAAGATTGTGGTGAGGAGGCAATCTGTACTTTCCACACAATGCATAATCTAATCGCCGTTGTAAATTTTTTACACCAAAATTTGGTACTATCTTTTTTGCGCTGTTGCGTGAGTATATGAGACCATTTATTGTCATTAATTAATTTTTCTCATTTCATTTTTTATACACAAAATGTGAATTTAATGATAAAACGTGTTTTTACAGTATTTATTACCAACAATTAATAAGATATACGGTAATGATTAATTTAATTGTGTACTTAAAATATATGAGAAATTTAAGGCCTTGGCACAAAACAATTTCATCTAGAATCATTGTCATTACTATTCAAAAAACTGCTTAATTGTACATCTCAATCATTGCCCATCCGTAGTATAGTTATTCGAGATGGAAAATAAAGAGACATTAGATTTATCAGAATAATTGCTTACTTCAGGCAATTCTTTCCAACCTTTACCGTTTTCTTTTCTATGAAAATCCTTTGATACACTGATTTTTTTATTTTCTTTATCTATTCTTTATCAATGTCGAGGTTATTGGATTTGTTTTTTATGTCAAAATTTCGTAAATTCTTATCATCAAATGGACCAGAATAGAATTAAAAAATTACTTTCCTCTGAGTACAACGATTTCTATGAGAAAATTATCATCGAGTCGCCGTTCGCTGAGACTACAAGAGACGGCCGGGGAGTGAGGGAAGTTACCATGGCATTGAGTTCTTCCAAGCTGATCATTGCCACTGATGTTTTTAGGAAGGATCAGGGATTCACGTGCTTGCCAGGAGTTGATCCCAGTATTGAGTGCTTCGAGCTCGTTTCTGTTTATCCTTTGGAGTTTGTTAATTTGAGTGTTTTTAGGAGACGAAGAAGGAAAACTCTCAAGGTTAGGTGGGTAAGGCTCTCTTGTACATTTTTTGCCTACAAATCAACTTTATTAATATTCATAGATATAGAGATCTCATGAGATGGGTTGGTTTCAATGGAAAATGTATGTCTGCAATAATGGCAAATTCGTGATCGGAAATTTATTTATAATGAGGATCAATAGGACGTAAATTGAATCATTGTAGCGAAAGTGGAGAATTGAAGAACTGAAATGTGGGGCGTTCCACATTATTTCAACGAATTTAGTTGAGTAATGAATCCACAAACTTTTGAACATTTATACCTCAATAACTACGCATTTTATGTGGGAAACTCAAAAGGGCTTTCTTTTTCGGAAAGGATGGTTAGTTATGAAAAAAATATCGCTCGGGAAAAGTAAATATTACTGCAACTTTTCCAATAAACAATTGGAAAACCCGTTATAGTTATGTAAGTTCCACCCTGAAAAATTTGAAAAAATATGTTGTGGGAAATATTGATGAGAAAGTTGGGTACAAATTTTGTTTAATAACATTTACTGATGGTTGAGATATTCATTTTTTTATGAAGTCGCGCGCTGTCCCCGCCGTTCACTGCGCTGCCCAATTCAAGCGCTCTCAATCCGTTGAAACTGAACAACCGTAGCTCTCTCAATACTTATTTCATGGTAAAGTATGCTTTTTGTCATTCCGGCCGTGAGGCAACGCTTCACGGACGCTCCGCGTCCGTGAATCTCTGCCTACGGCCGTCATAACAAAAAATACTGTTCGTCATACGGCCAAAAAAAACTTTTCTAGCTCATATGATTGCAGCCCTCGCCTTCGGCTCGGGCTGCAGACTCATATTCGCCAGAAAAGTTTCTTTCGGCCTAGTGACGAAATATACTATTTTTGCTTCCGAATGGAAGCATTGTAATCGACCAAATTTAAGTTTTTGATTTTTTGTGTTATATCAACCCATTATGATCCAAAAAGTCCGAAAATGCAATTTTTAGGCAGCGTCCGTACGTGTTTACGTATGTATGTACGTATGTAACAAAGTTTTTCTTCAATTATTTGCCAGCTCAACAATGGAATTCAATCTTTTTTTTCTCAAATGTAGGTTTTACTGAGCCCCATCTACTGCCATTAATTGAAATTCAATTCATTAACGCATTTTTAAAATTTTCGAATTTTTTCAAAAATCGGTTTTTTTACGATGACTAAAAAAAATGTTTCAAATTCGTTAAATAACGACTTAAAAAATTGGTTAAGATGCCCTATCGACCGAGTTCGAAGACAAAGACGATAGCAGTAATCGTTACTGTGGTTTTTGTGAAAATTTGCAAAAAAAATTTTTTTTTGTGACGTATTGAGACCGATCAATACGTCGATTAGAATAATATTAAGAGACATTCGGTCGAAATAAGTAGATCATGCGAAAGAGGTATATGATTTCTCTTTCCTGTGATCCAGACATAAGCTCAATAGTCACATGGTGTCATTTAGACATCATGGTCAGCGGTCTCACGGTGGCACCTGAGTCCAGTTTCCCCTGGAGAAGCTGTTTGACTGTATTAGTCTGTGTCAATGATGACATATGACTGTATTGGTCAGGGCAAATCGTGGGACTGCTTACTCTGCAGTTTTAGGTCTTGAGCACTTGGCAAAGTCTCTGTAAGGGCAGAGTACGATCGGGAGTGAAGCTGGATGGTCTTTCCAGCTCTTCCACATTTAATAACGCGTAAACCGAACTCCAAATCCCAACCCTGTAGTGTATTTTAGTAAATAGTTCATTATAGCTTTTACCAATTACACTCGGTGTTTCAATGAGAACTAACTTCCCAAGATCCAATATCCCACAATAGACCGAAGTGAGCGAATCCCCCATGAGCTCACCGCGGAAGCTAGCCCAGTCGAAGTGAAGACAAATATAAGGAAGATAAAAAGAAAACAGCTCTATTTACCTGATTTTAACTCGGGGTTAAACTCGAAATCTCACATTAGCGCCCAACTAGTTGGCACACATTTCGAGAAATGGAGTGCGAGAACTAAAGTTTTATGAAAATTTTTATGTGACGAGCGGTGGGAACTGAAGGATTATACGAGGAAATTAAGTGGGTTCGGTATAGTGCGCAAGAGAGTCCAAAATTTGGAACCTGGTAATGTTGAATTTGCCATGGAATAACGTGAAATCGGTGAATTTCCTGAATCAGAAGTCGTGAGGCGACTTCGTTGGTGCGTTGAGGATCGTCAGTCGGAAGAAGGCTTTTGAAACACAGGGTACTAAATCAGCAAGGATACAGCTCGATATAGTACGCGGCTAACGGGCAGCTGCTAAATCCAAGAAAACGGACGAGATTTTCCAACGACGAGAGGACGCTACCGCAAATATCCAAGCGTTTGGATGACATCAAAAATTTACCCCCTACAATTATTGCCATGGAATCACATGCTTTCATCAGTTTTGGAGGGTGGATTCCATCGTACTTCTCCTCAACCGTCATAAAGAATGAACAACAACGTCAAGAAGGTTGGAGCATGACATCGAATGGGTTGACCATCTCAGAAGAGTATCGCATGACGTACACACCATGGGACACTGCAAAAGCTCCAGAATATCCGCCATATGCAGGTTCAATCATTAGAAATACATTTGCATCTTGGGAGTCAGGGATTCCAACAGAACAAATCAACAAGGTCAACCCTCCAGTTCGAATAATGCAAGGTGCAAGTATGACCGACCATTGGGATCAAATTTATGGGCGACGCTGGCAACAATCTCTCACAAAGACTGTCGAGAAACCGGCGCCGCAGACATCTAAATACGATAAAATCGCAGAAGACATGGTTGCAAAATAGTCGGATATTTATGTTAGTGGGCCTGCACTATTCTATGGAGACGAGGAAGGTTCGGAGACAAGGCATCGGTTGCTTGATCCAAGAGGAACGCGAGCGTCAGTTGATGTCTCAGCTGTCGAAGCTATAGTCTATCGACAGGCCCCACCTGATTCACCTTTCGGATTAAGTGAAAAAGCCTCACTATTAACTATTCCGACCATCAATTTCGGAATAAGTGGAGAAAGAGTACCTTCATTAGATGATCGTTATGAACAACTCGCAGAAATAGCGGAGCGAGGCTACTCCATGTGGCCGAGACCGAAGCAAGAGAATCGAGACCTCGAGGCAGTGAGGAAATGGTTGAGTGCAGTGGAAAAATAGGGGGAGATGCAAACCCCAATATGAACAGTGAAACGGAGGGGGAAGATAAAGTTTTCAACAGTGGAAAACTAATGTTAAAATCTGAATTTGGCAAAAAGGACAAAAGGACAAAAGTGGAATAGTCAGTGAGGACAGGAAAATTTATTCATTAGAAGTGAATTTCACAAATGAAGATGTGTCATTTCGGAATGGGTCCAAAGAGCCACTGAAACTTAGTGTTGTGAGGAGTGCAGTGATTCAAAATGCAGTGAGTGGAGAAAACGGGCCGATAAGGCCTTGGTCATTTGATCCCGGAGGATCATTTCCATTAGCTGATCTGAGCGCTTCTAAAACGATAGCTGGACTACATATCTCACGTAATTATCACTGTGAATTGAAAGAAGGCTTATCGTTCTCATGGAGTGAGGACGGTGAAGTATCCAGAGGAACAGTGGATGCTCGTCACTGCAAGAGAAGGCGTCGGCAACGTGATCCTGGGGATTCATCGCCAAGAGCTGATTTATAATCAGCCAACAACAGCGGAAATCGTCTCCACTAGCGATTACTCAGGAGAGTAATTTTGGTCTTAGTGGGGAAGGGGTACTCTCAGAGAGAGATAAGTATGGGACACATTTCTCAACTTTGTTCCATCGTTATCGGTAAGAAACCAAAATTATAATGCTAATCGCGCACGGAAAATTTGAACTGTAGTCTTGTGAGACATTCTTGTGAACAACAAAAAAAAATTTGTTTTTATTAACATCTGAAAATTAAGAGAAATGTCGGCGATTATAAAGATTAGCCAAACTACAAACATCTTACACTTTGAGAAAAATAATAGTTGTTCCATCGTTATCGGAAGAAGTTCAAAAACACGGACCCTGAAAGAACAAATCTGATGATCTAAAGTAACTATTAGAGCGTAAAGTCAAATCGGAAAATTTTGAAATCATACCTATTGTAAATGATTGTGTTTCGCCAATTTCAATGAAGAAAAAAAAAACAACAGTTGTCAAGTCCGTTAACGATACGATTTTGAAGAGGAAGAAGCAGAGAATCCTTTAATTTGCATCTTGAAGCGAAAATTCAAAAACCAAACGTGGATACACAAAAAAACACTATTCATCAGTCTCTTCGGGGGACTGATTTTGGAATTAGTGGGAGAGTAGTACGGTATCTAAATATTGGGGAAAATTGGAATATAATATAAATTGTCACCTAATGTGAGGTCCAAAAATTAAAAAAAAAACTTATGTCTGAGAAGGAAACTTTTGTAACGGTTCGATCGATTGTCTTTAGCAGTTGAGTCCAAAATTATGTACACCTTTACTCATAAAGCTCATAAAGCACCCAAGTTTATGAAAATATTTAAGTCTATGCAACTTAATTGCATTAGCATCGACAATGAAAACTTAGCTAGGATAAAATGCTCATACACCAACTGTTCTAAAGAACCTTTCGCCCATATGACTGGGACTTGATAGCCCTTCTGGCATAAGACGAGGCCCATAAGGCACAGACTTGTATGAAGTCTTTTAGTTTTATTACTATTATGACCTAGTTGTAGTCTATGGTAACAATAGTTTTATCAGGGGAGTGTGACGTATTGAGACCGATCAATACGTCGATTAGAATAATATTAAGAGACATTCGGTCGAAATAAGAAGATCATGGGAAAGAGGAATATGATTTCTCTTTCCTGTGATCCAGATATAAGCTCAGCAGTCACATGGTGTCATTTAGACATTATGGTCAGCGGTGTCACGGTGCCACCTGAGTTCAGTTTCCTCTGAAGAAGCTGTTTGACTGTATTAGTCTGTGTCAATGATGACATATGACTGTGTT